ATAATCGCTACCAGTGGGTGTAGGGTTGTCTGAAGTTAATGGAAGTACATTGATTTATGCTGGCTGAGGGCCTGACCTAAAATTCACAGAATTACAGGATGGCTGAGGTTGGAAAGGACCTCCGGAGGACATCTCATATCAAATTCAGATAGATCTTTTGGTAGAGCAATATCCATAGACACTTTTCTTGGCAGTACTGTGTTCCCTAACAAGACACCAGAAAGAACAGTCAATACAGGGGTATGGCAGCCGTCCCAGACCACAGCTGAACCAGCTGCAGAAAATAGGCTCCTTCCTATTTGGTGGCTGTATTTTATTTGTTTAATGCCACGGGTAGGCCTGAAGCTTTACAGATTTAACAAATTAAAGATTAAGCCAACACCTTAGTGTAACAGGCAAAGAATAATCATGTCCCACACAGATGAACTGGGGGGGGCGGGGGGAGGGGAAGGGGAGGGATAGATAAGCAAAAAGAAAAGCTCTGGCAACTCACTTTTCCTTCAAGAGGGGCACAAGGAATTTGCACTGCCACGTTATATCAACTTTCTTGCTACTTTTTTTGTTATTACTATTACTATTTTATTATTAATTGTTGTTAATCTATTGTTACTTTTTCCACTGTAAAAGCTCCTGATGAGAAAACAGGGATATTTTCTTAGAGCTACTGGAATTAGTGTAGATTTTTATATTTAAAAACGTTACCCTCCTCCAGCTGATTGTCATGCAGATTTAAGGATTTGGTCTGGATCAACTATGAGTTTCCACTTGTGATAGCCACGTGAATCCTGGCAGAGCACGGACTCCAGCAGCCTGGCAAACCTTGACTAGCCAGTACTTAACTTTGCCTTAGGGCTCACTGATCCACATTTTTAGCAAATAGCTTGTTCTACAACTTCTGAGTCATTTACATTATGTACCAGGTAATATCTCTCTTCACATTGCTCTATCTTAACATTCTGCCCCTACATTTTTAAAAGTACACTTTAATGATTCTCAAGTACTAATTCAAAAACAAATTTTCAATGCAGAAATTAAAAACGATCTGAAAACAGATTATGTATCATTATCCTGCCTGGCAGAACGCAACAAACATCGTAAACCTATCTCACTCACAACACAGTAATGCAGCTAAAAACAGTCTTAGTGCTCTTAAAAGAAAACTTCTAATCAAGAGACGACTTACCATAGTTGTGAGAAAAAGGTATCATTTACTGCAGCACAGCCTTGCCTAGAATGCTGGCTGAGGTTTCCATGGTTAACCTAAATTAAAATCAATTCCATATTTTTTGGCAGAAGGTCTATAAGCTAATTTTCATCTTTTCTTCTTCAACTATAATTAAAAACATAGGGAACAGGCTTCATATGCCTCAAGTATGAAGGTACATTACAGTAGACATTTTTGTTTTTAAATGGCTACAATGAGCACCTTAAGTCAAAATTAAGCGGGGATAGCAGAATGTCATTATTGCCTGTGATTATACAGTTAACAATAAATACAGCCCATGCCTACAGGGGACTAATACCCTGTGTACTAGACGCGGCTGCTTGTTCTAAAAGGAAGTAAACTTTAATGCAGATTTGATCTGCAGTCACCATACACTTCTGTCACGCGAATTACTGATTAGTAAGTCAGAAACAACAGAGGATGGCAAGGGAATCTAAAAGGCTTTTTGCAGCAATATTAGAAAGATATTCATCGTAAAGATGGGAAAAGTATAGTATCAAAGAGAAACATAATTGCATAAAGCGAACAGGAGTTTGGCTTCTGATCACATGCAAAATCTACTTTGTCCATACAGTGGGCGAGCAGATAGGTTCAACGTGTGAGAAGTGTGCAAGTGGCCCAGGTGTCTCTGGGTGTGGAGACGAGGACACAAGATGCTTCCAAATGAGTCCTCTGAGCAAATTAAAACCACCCTGATTCCATAAAGGTCTTCTGGTGACTTCCCAGCAAGCAGCCAGCAAGTGCACAATGCCAGATTAAGGTCATTCTTCTTACGAGCGCTTGAAGACATGACATCACATTATAGACAACTTTAATAAAATCTCAGCGTTCTCTGAATCATTATCTTATCCACTTCTGTCTATCAAGTACATCCACTGTTTGCAACCCTTCACAAGTTCAATTTTCCACCGTCTCTTACTTTAATATATACGTATTTTAAGATTAATTGAAAGAGTAGCCAACCAACCATGGAATAAAAACTTTTTATACACTTAACTTTTAGAATTAGTCATGCACACCCTGCAACTTAGTGGCGCTTTGTTAACATACGATTGCTACAATTGCTACAGTGTGGTAAGTAATCTCTCTTTGTGGAATTCTCGGTTAGGGAACTCACATTTAACCTCTGGTGGATGAAGTACAAATCTTGATTTTAAAGAAAGGGACTCGCAGAGGGGTGAGGAGAAAGCACGGTGGATTTTCCCAAGGCCTGTTCAAAGCCACCAGCCTCACTCCCTTTCCCTGCCTTCTCACCCTTAGGGACTGACACTCTTAAGCTGAGAAAAGGCTTTGGGTTGAAATAAGAAGTGTATGTCATGTCTGGACTGAATGGTATTAGCCTAGCTTTGTGAACAGCACTAACCCCAAAGCCAATTCTATAACCACTCATCAGTAGACCATCTGGAGAAGGAATGGGTAAAGTAAGGCAGGGGGGATCTATTTTGCATTTTCAATTCTCCACTAGCAAATATAAACCCTCACTTAAAGTAGAGTTTGCTTTGAGTAATTTTAAAAGACGCAAACAGAAGCAACCCTATTAAAAGCCTTAAAATGACATTTATTCAGTCACTATGAGAAGAAAGAATCCTACTACTTGGAAAATGCTTTTCTCACTCTCACCTTTCAGCTATTATTCACATACAACCAAAATCACATCTGAATAAATTCCACTGGCCTTCACTGCATACCACCCAGCATTATTTACTTTCATATAGAAACCTTAGCGTACAGGATAGCCAAAAACTTCATTGAGAGAGCTGGCTGAATTAAGGAGGAGAGGCAGCTTCCATTCTGAAAAGAGGGAAAAACTATTTCCAAGTTAGATGTGGAAGGACCCAGAAACAGAAGGCTGATTATCTCCTGTAAATGAAAAGCAATGGGTGAAATAGGAGGAACAAAGTAGAAAGTGAGAAATAACACTGCTCAAAGATTGCAGCCGTGTAAGAAGACCAGGGAACAAGCAGATAAAAGCACATAAAATGAAGCAAGTTCATTTGAATTAGACTCATGGGCATTAATCAAGCCAGAAATAGCAACAGTGCACAGGGGGGAAACTGTTCATTTTGTTAGACAGGGGTAGGCGTTAAATTCTCTCATCTGCCACAGGCTTTCTGTTAGTGGCAGGCAGGTCACTCAATCCATGCCTCAGCTCCTCATTCATAAAGCAGGATGTTGTGCAGAAAAGCCACAAATGGGTCAGGGGACAGTCAAGTGATAAGGGCAAGATGGGAACCTACACAGACAGCTATACCTAACAGATCCCTGACGAAGGGAAAAAAAAAAGGGAGTGAGAGAGACTGGCTATAGTGACCTGACCTACCTGCATTTTAAAGAGAAACACAAATGTTACAGAGTGTAACAGATGGATGTACAACCACAAGAGAGATAAACCTCTGACTATAAAAGCCTGGAGAAAAAAATTTTGCCAAATAAGAAGGGTGGCAATGCACAGACAGATATATTCAAATGATGAAGCTGACTAAAATTAAGAGCAGAACGAGTATCTGAATGTACTCTCAAAGGAATGCTCTCTAATTTCATGGAGGTGTTATTTGTGCACCAGGTACTGCTACAAAATAGTGGGTACAGGCTACTCCTATCAAATATACAGGGGAAAAGCATGGGAAAGTTACAGACAGGAAGAAATAGGGTTCCTTCTTGGGGGTGAAAGAAAGGAAGGGGTGGGAAATTCCTTCAACTACATAAAAAATGGGGGAAAGACCCTTGGCACACACAATTTCAGACTAAGAAGCTTGCACACTGGGATTCTCCCATTCAGTTATGAATTACAGGCAAAATGGAGTGCAGCTAGTACAAGTGGTTATTAAATAAGATATAGGTAGTCACAAGATGAACCTCATGTACCGAAAGAAGCAAGCAAAGGAGACAAGCAGTCTGCAAACAGGCTGTCTGGTTGCAGAGGGGATCAGAGGGGCAGAGGAGACAGACAGCTGATCAGAGATGAAATTTTCCCTGAGGGCACAAGCAGCCCTCCTGAATACATGTGAGTTTATCTGAGCTGGTTTGAGCATACAAAGGGGCCAGGAGGAAGCAGGGAATGGATGGCACTGAGGCAGCGTGCGGTCACAGTGACAGTATTTCCTTGTAAAATGCTGAGGAACTGCTGGAAATCGTTACTATCCCTCTGGCCATTCCTCCCTCATTACTTGTTCTAGCCAGTACTTGAAAAAAGAGCTTTTTAATATATAACTGTGTAGCCAACAGCATATGTGTAAGTCCTTGTTAACTCCAACTTCATTCTTTGCTATTTAGTATTTTCAGAGTGATTAAGTATGACAAAGCAACATTCATTAGCTGTGGGAGGCATGTCCCTGTCCCAAGCAGCCTGCTCCTGCCCTAGAAATTCTAAAACCATAAAGCAGACGATGGGCGTGAGAAAGCAAATAATATTGTCCCCGTGTTACAGATTGAGAACCAAGGAAGAGAGCTAGTAAGTGATTTTCCTAGGATTTTACAGGAGGTCAGTGGCAAAACTGGATATTGAAACCCTCTCTCTTCAGCATCCATCTGGTGCCTCAGTCACAAGGGCAGTGCATCTCTTTTAAGGACATTCTCTTTCCTCCTCAGAGTGTCCTGGTAACAGGTGTCTTTGACTGAACGAACATATTGAGTTTATATAGCTTTAAGTCTTGTTGAACCACGTTGTACTTTTCCCCCTCTCTGTTTCCAGCCCCCTTGCAGCCACTTTTGGGCTAAGCTCAGGTCAGCAATACTGTCAACTCCATCCACAAAGCCAACTTTTTTATCTACGTACAGTTCTGTTGGTGAAGTTACTGAAGTCTGTCACTAAGATTTGCTTGATCATCTCTGGTGTGGAGATCACCACAAACATCTGGCGACCAATGTAATACCTACAAAGAAAGAAAGTAGAGAGTCATTTTAGCACATAATAACCACCAGAGAACCATTTCCTTCCTTAAAACATCTCTTTTGGCTTGAAAATACTTGCCATGAACAAATATCACATAAAATATATTCTCCTGGGTAAAGCAGTATCTTTCCCCATCCCTCTCAACTACTAAATTAAGATGCATGGTCCTGAAATTTAAAGGAAACATCTTAAAACCTTTTACGGATTAATCAATACTCAGCTAACATTTTAATGTAAAGGTTTACACACTCTATGCTCGCTATGAATTCTGTACAAAGTGATGTAACATCACTAAACCAAACTACAGAGGGGCAAAACATTAGAAAGCAACAACCCAAACAATCGTGAAAGACCTACAAAATCGATTATCCTGCAGCTAGCCGCATAAAATGTCTTTCCATGGCAAAGCCCTGTCTACGATGAACCTTTCCAGAAGTCCCCCAGCATGGCTGCAGGAAAGGCACGCTCTCACCACTTTTACTTGCACTGGAACTAAATGCACCTCAGATCCCAGGCTCTTCATTGCCACAGACGTAACCACCAAACCGACACCATCTAAACATTAAATAACATCGGGGGGAAGGTTCACCAGGTATAAAGGAATTAACAGAACTTTAGAAGAAGGCTTCTTCTAGAAGGGGTGTCTCACTCCCTGCTTGTACGCCCTCCACCTCCGCGCTCCCGGTGCGGAGCCAGGCTCTGTCCCTGGGGGACATCCCACCGCTGTGGGTGCCGCAGAGGCTCGGGGACCCACCCCACCCCACCCCACCCCACGGCTCCCAGGGGTACGGAGCTCTCCTCTCCAGAAGTATTCCCTCCAAGGCCCACACGCACTCCGTGCCTGGCTGCTCTGCGGGGAGAGGCAGAAGTGTCCCCAGCAAGCAGAGGCTGCCTGCAGTCCCTACCTTTGCCGACCGCTGGACCGGACAGACATGCAGGCGGTGAGAGGAAGAGGAGGCTGGAGGCAGGCACAGGAGGGCCGGGCAGCTCAGAGCAGAACACAAGAGCAATACCACAGATGCTGCAATACTGCAGTAATGTCAATGCCTAATCATTTCAGTATGATAGAGCTTAGCATCAATATATTGCTTATCACCTGTCTACACTGCAGCAACAGAACAGACAAGCAAACCCTGGGCTGAATTAAATTTAGTAACTGGAGGTTCCCATGGCAATGAAGCTGCAGCAGCACTGATTTCACCAAGGGCAAACAAGTCAGACAAATATCTTGATTCCGTAGCAGAGTTTCACAGTCCACCTTGACCCCCATACCACCAAAACTCATAACAAAGAAATGGCAGAGAAGCACAAGAAAATAATTTTCTTCCTGGTGAGTTTCCAGAGGGAACCGTTACCTCCCAAATCCAACCCACAGGCTCCACTTGAACCTTAGGTACAGGCGGTAGGGTCTATTAAAATAAACCTTTTACAGCCCTCCCAGTTTGCTAAACCACAGCAAAGTAGCTGTCTGTTAATGGCCAAACTTTTCTTCAGAATCTTAACAGGTGCCTAAGAAAGAGCGGAGCCCTCATTTTAGAGTGCTTTGATCACAGCCTTTAGCAAAAGAGGATAACGCCCTACGTGCCCCTTCACGTGCACTTTGCACGATTTCTCTGGCATCTGAGAGGGAAAGGAAGCTCCCGAGGCGAAGGCCTGTGCTTCTCCAAACCTACCCGGGATGATCAACCAGGAATGCTGACCTCTCACACTCACACCTTGCTTTTCTCCTTTTCTCTTCCCCTCTCCAAGTTTACGGAGTTCCTTGTCTCGTTTAATGGTTAGTGACCGATGGCAGTCCCACGCACACAGCTTTTCACAGGGACCGAACACCGGGCTCCAAACCTGAATCAGCTAATTATGTCTGCCCAGATAGCTTAACTCTGACCACCATGGGGCATCACGATACATCATGCAAAGCACATATCTGTGTGCGAGAGACACTTCTAGCTTATTTCAAACCTGGGAAGCCGCAGAGCTCCAGCTCCGGGCCGCTGGAAGAACAGGACGGTACTCACAGTCCGGGTCCTCACGCCACAGCGCGCTTTGTGCTTGAAAGCACTCAGGACTAAAATTCGGGACAGGAGCATCTCCCGCTCAAGCTGCTTTTATGAGAAAGTGACTCACAAGCCAAGCTTATGCAAACAAATCTATTCATCATCCTCCAACTCAGACCAGTCACCCAAACTACCAGTTCTGCTTCCACAGCTAAGTGCTTTTTATTTACTCTCCTCTAACTTTCTACCTATAAGCACCTATTTTTCCTTTCCGTATCCAGTTAGAAATAAGGGCAGAGAAGGAGGGAAAAAAATCCTCTGCGTTTAATAAATTGAAAATAGTGAAAAAATATTTTAAATTGCTTTTTCCGCGAAGCTCTGCCTGCTTTTAAGGAAAGACTGCTGTAAAGCACACACAGACTACCATCTTTTATTGTATCCCAAACAGTAAAAACTCTCTTTCTGGCTTTTTTCCATTCTCCTACTTTCTGTATATAATCTTTCTAACCTTTTCTAAGACACAAAAAGAAGAGGCTGTGTATGGACATGCTTTGGATGGCAAAATCCACAGGCTAGGAGCATGACTTCCATGATCTTTCCTGAAGTTAAGGAAAAAGAACAACTAGAGCTAAGCATGAAACAAGGTCATCTGAGAAATTTAATTTAATTTAGCAAACACGGGTCCAGAACCTGTAATGCCACCAGAAAGATGCTTAACTGAATTTTAACATATTTTAAATTCTTTTCAGGATCAAGGCCTGAGTCACAGAGAGGATATATCCCAACTAGGTTGTTTGTTTGTTTTTTCTACTTGTTCCGAAATGGCAAGTAAAAGATAAAATCCTCCTGAACAGTAATCTATTCTTCCCAAGTAAATAACATATTCACCCCTGCCATGTAACTTCATTTTGATTCTGTATTACTATGTGAGGATATCACCAGTCACACACAGACTTAGATTTATTACTGAATGAAACCTGATATTCTTGTCAGATTTTAATAAATAAGAGTTTGAGAAAAACAAAAGCCTCCAGGCAAGTGCATTACAAATAGATTCATGAATAATTTAGGACAGCACTTTTTATTAACTTTCTCTAGGTTAATCTTTTTACAGGGCTTGTCCACACACAAAAGTCCTACCTTTAACTACAGTGATACAGTACCATTACACTGCTTGACCCAACCCTTTGTAATATTTTCATGCAGGGAACTCAGGGTGTAATGCAAACGCTTGGGACTATCTAGCTCGCTCCTTCAGAGAAACAAGGACATGTGCCTACAACTCTGCCCACATGGGAATCCACCTTCACACTGGCATACCAGTACAAATAAATTTCATGACCCATGCGTAAGTGCAATTTTCCTGTGTAGATGAGGCCTTGGTTATGCTGTTCGGGTCATTTCTATTAAGTCCCAGTTTAAACTGCAGAGGTTCAAAATAGAGGGGAAAAAAAAAAAAAAAAAAAATCCACATTTTTTAGACCAGCAGGTTTAGCTCCGTTGGAAGGTGAGGCAGGGAAGAGCTGGTGCCAGTACATCAGCAGCACGAGGACAGTGTCAGCCTCCTGCAGCAGATGGGCGACGGGCCATCGCCCCAGCGGAGTGCTGGTGCAGAATGGGCAGCTCTGTGCTGCACCGTCCCCGGGAGGGCCAGGCAAAAAGCTTTTCAGCAGAGTTTAACGGAGGGCACGCACCTACCCCCAGAAGGTGTGGAAAAGGCAGGCTGCCCTCCAGCATGCTCACCAGAGGGCTCGCAGGGCAAGGTTACACGCAGTGTATGGGGCAGAGGAAGTTAATCTGCAGCCAGAGGGTTTTAATAACTGAAGGGGCTACAAACACCCAACACATCCAGCTGCAGCAGTCTGGTTTGTAAGAGCAGACAAGCACCGCTCTTCTGGCAATCGATGAAAAGGACAGGGACTGCAGCCTTCTGTTCAGGTTTCACTCAAGATACTGCGCTCCTCTTCGCAACCATTTAGTCAATCAGTAAACATGTCTTTTCTTTTACACACAAGACTAAGCAGCAACCCAGCAATGATTTCTGCTGGTTTGCACGTGCACCACCAGTGCTTTCTGCCGAGATGTGGCCCAGGTGTCCCAGCCCACACCCAGTGCCTGCCGTGGCCATGGCCACATCAGTTACCCCACGGAGGTAAGAGGCTCCTCAAACTCCAAGCCGAGGTAGAGGCACCTTGGACCACCCGGTCCCTCCCGCAACACTCAAGCACACCATCCCCCTTTCCAACGTTTGCCAGAGACACTCCCTGGGAACGCAGATTTCTGTTCCCAGGCGACGTAGCAGATCAGTCAACCACTTTTTCTTTGAAGGACCAATTTAGTATTATCTTTTCCGCGCCCCCAAGATTGCTCTGGCCACGCTGCACGGCCATCCGCCGCCGCCAGCAGCCCTCGGGTCCCGAGCCATGGACGTGCTCTCCAAGCAAAGCCGACAGCAACGCTGCCTTGCTGCCCAGGAAAGGATGGAGTGTGTGCGCAGCACATCATGGCAAAGGGCCACACGTTTCTGTGCAACACCCGGGTGGGAAACACCTGCAACCCTTTCACCTTGTTTACAGTGCTGCTGTCAATTCACAGAAGCCTTTGATCTCCCTATCTATTATCAGTCCCACGTATTACAAACACATCACATTAATCATAAAACACATATATGTTGTTAGGCAATAAACAAGGCTTTGTTTTCTATGCTACAGTCTGGTAAAGTACACAAAGATCATCTGGAAAGCTAAATGAAAATAGAAAATTTTATTATCTCTATCTTCCTCAGGGAAGAGCAAAAGAACAAAAAACGAAAAAGAAAGGGGGGAAAACAGAGAGGTATGAAAAGACATAGACATACAGGGGAAAAGACTAACTTTCTTAAGAACCATTTCCTTAAAAAAAAGTTCCTCAATCACTCTGCTCCCTTTGTTTAGAGACACCCATTCACTGCAGACTGAGAAACGCAAAAGCGACTAGCACACTGCTT